CTTCTTTCTAATCCTGCTGTCAGATCAGGTCAATCGAGGAATATTCGTTTTAGAAGAAAACGTTTCGAAAAAAAGTTTTTTATTGGTATTAAGGAACCAAAATCATGGATTATGTATACGCCACGTATAAAAAAAGGTAATTTATTACACCAAGCGATGTGACTTAGTGCGTACCGCTCTGACTTCACAATTGGGAGGTTCGAGTTCAATCCCCGGGCCGGCCATCCTGGCCGGGGTTATTCGTGGTTTCCCTTGGTCATAAGGCGAATGCTGGGATGGTTTAAAAGTGCCAAGATCGCGTCCCACCGCCCTACCGCCAACCATCATCCTAGGCCTTTCACCCCTGATCACTATCATATCACTTCATTCAGAATTCCTTACAAAAGGCAGAAGGCCCTTGCTCTTAATGGGATCTTAGTTTAATAATAATAATAATAGTAATAATAATAATAATAATAATAATAATAATAATAATAATAATTTACAACTCGTATGAAAAAAAACTCTTTCACGGTGTCAGGAAACGAGATTTTCTTTCGAAAAACAGCAGTTTTCGCCGCATCATTCCATAACGTCCTGTATGCTACGTATATTACTTCGTTTATACGTACATGTACGAAAAAGTAAAAACAAAAAAATCTTGTAGTGCCAATTATTTGAAATAGACTCATTATTCGGCAGTGTTATGCATTTTCTGTACCCTTTGTGGTAATGTAAGTGAAGCAATTATGCTATCGTAGAGATATTTTTAGTAAGTACTGATAAAATTATCTTCGACCTCTGTGAATAAACTGGTAACTTTAGCAAAAACAAGTTTACAGGAGCGCCACAACTTACCGTTCATCAATTATTGAGCTTATCTTTTAAAGCCCATCAACAGAAAACTCAACTTATTCAATAAATATTAATGATTATAAATAATTCTTATGATGTGAATAATTAGGCAAATCGGCTTATGTTACTAAAGAGATGTAGACAATGATTAAAAGAATCCAGTCACCCCAGTTTCAGTAAGAAGCTAATTTATCAACTTATTCACCGGGATCAAAGGTATGTTAGTTATTATTGTTGTTATGAAATTGACCTGAGTCAATGATATCCATGCAAAAGAAAAGTGACTTATCTAAACAAAATTAAGATTTTGGCGAAGAGCGGTTTTATTTTGAGTGGAGGTATCAGTGAGTTTCGCACGGCGATGCGTTACAGCAATCATCGATCTTCGCGTGCGCAGTTCGGTTTTAGAATCACGTTTGTGCATCTGCGCATGCGCAGAAGATCGAGTTCAGTCGCTGTCAGGAGGAGAATTCTAGCTGTCGGCTGCTCCGATCGGTTGTTTTTTTCGTGGTTTCTGCGATCAATACCAGGCGAATGCTGGATCGGTACCGTAAGAAACGGACCACGGACCGCGCGCGAACTTTCCTTCCACTTCCTTGTTCTATTCCCTCCCGTTACGAACACACATTTACACTTACATGCACTACACTACCACACACGCCGGGATGCCGGTCGGGAGATTAGAGCTTGTCCCGGTTGGGGTGCTGCCCTGCTGCTACAAGATACCTGATTGGGGAAAACCCCGCTAGCCAAGGTGGTTCGGCGGTAAAACCCTGGTAGTTCGGCGACGGATCTCACCATTTAGCGGGGAAAGATCACCGCCACCTCCAAAGGAAAAACATGCACTACATTTACCGGACTAATGAGCGTTTACGCGCCCGAAATCACTAATAAATCAATAATATGAAAACGGATTCCGTTATGCATAAGGATGCCAGTTTAAAAGAATAAGTGGGAGCAAGGATATGAGGAGCCACTTGTAATCATCCAATGCTCCACATGTTGCAGACAGGCCACATTTTGGCCAATATTGATCACGAAGCAATGCTTTTTTTCGAAACTTGTATTTATACTTCGCCTTTAGTTCCTTCGTCCCTCAACTCTATAATTGTAAATGAGATCACAGAATTCTAAGAACACTTTCTAAATTTTTTAAAACGTGTCCTCTATTTTTTTAAGCGTTGGGTACACGTCTCAAATATTGAGTGAATAACACGTAGATTTTTAGTACTATCTTATCGTTGCGTCTGTGGCAGGTACTTTTGTGTTATTTTCTATGTCAGTACATTGCAAAATTATAACAAAAATACATTTTAAATACAATACAGTTTCCTGGTTCGTCCTTCCTACATAGATAAAAATTATCATTTGAAATTCTTTCTTTTTAATTGCATGTTTCATATCATAATTAGGTTTTACTATCCTCAATTTTATGTATCATTTTCTCAGCAATTCACGTTACGCCAGAAAGTCAGAATGATAATGCACAACGTTACATCACTGCAGGTGCTTTGAAATTCTCAAAAACATTTTTTAAAAGAATTCATCTACAATATTCTAGAGAGATGGGACTAAAAATAGGGTCTGTAGATTTGTTTTATTGGGAATAATTGAACGAGTAATTTATGACCTCAGTAGATCTTTTAAAACTCCCCCAAATGCTTTTTAAGTGCTTAAAGCAAACCAAAAGTATTTTTTTTGAAAAATGTCCTTAGAATGCCGCGAATGACAACTGTTTTCTCGATTGATAGGCCGAGTGAACACACGACCACCCGGCATGCAAATTAAGAAATTTCTTTTTCTCACGTTGCTGTCTCTACGAAATGATATTGTGGACTCCCGTTCGTACCTTGAAATAGCATCAATAAAAAACGGAATTACTTAGTTTTCGTTCTTCTAACTTGTGTAAACTCCGACACTCAGAAATAGAGATTTGTTCTCAAAAGAGATCGGAAGACAACTCAAATGTAGGAAGGGATTCCTCGTGAGTGAACAAAGCCAAACGTCATCAATGTAAAATTTCGAAAATCTTGACCGGTATCATCTTTCTTTCTCATTTAGAATTTTAACACTACCTGTCCTTTGAGACTTTGCATCCACAGAAAGTCAAAACACAACTGTAACGTCGTGTTGTCCAGGCTTGCAGGTATTTATCGAGATAAGTGCCAGGAGAAAACAAGGAAAAAAATGACGAAAAAGAAAGAAAAAAGCAAAAATAGGGCAAAATACCAAAAATAGGTATCGTGAGGTAAAATAGGCGAAAAAAGGCAAAATGAAAATCTATTGAAACTACTCCAAGAGTACAATTAAGTGATTTGGATTGCCAAACTTCAGCTAATTCAGCCATTTAGCCAAACTTCCGGTCTCGACCTATTTCTATATGTAGGATTAATGGAATTAATGGATTAATTCATGTATAAATTTGATTTGAATTATTTTCGCCAAAGAACAGTACATACTGTATTCTGCTTCTTATGGTGCAACAGGCCATAAGTGAACTTGAGCCTCCTTCAGGATTTCGCTCCATGTATCTCTTTCCCGTGCCTTCTTCCTCCAATTTTTTGCTCCTGCATTTCAGGTCTTCCTCAACACCATCCAGCAATCTTAGAGGTGGTCTTCCAACTCTACGGGCGTCAACAGGTCACATAAAAGTCAATTCTTTACACGCAGCTGATTCAGGCAAGCGACAGATAAGGCCAAGCTATCCTTATTTTAATCAGTTTCATTTCTTTAACAATACTGTTACTATTGTATAAATCATATATCTCTTTATTGGGTCAGATTCTTTATTTGCCGCTGTCCTGCACTGGCCTATAGATTCTTCTCAATTTTTTTACCTTCAAATACACCCAGTATATTTGTATCATTTTTACTTAAAGCTAGACATTCAGTTCCATACATCACTATAGGTTGTAGCAAAGTCTTATATAGTTTTAGCTTATATTTAGGTCGTAGGGATCGCAAGCCAAAACATTATTTTAATCCAAAGAAGCTTCTGTTTACAATTCTTGTTTGTTGTTCTTGCCTTATTTTCAGTTGTCAAAGGAATGTTCCCCTACTTCGAACGATTTCGTGTAAGTTTTCTTCTTGGTTCATTCCATATATTTGTATTTTCTACAGTTGACACACTCCAATTTTTTTGCCGCATCATTGAAGCTTGATGCCGCTTCCCATAACGCCGTAATAATTTTTACATCATACAAGTATGATGGTCACATATCTTAGGCTTTCTCCATAATGTCATAGAAAGTGTCCTTAACCCTATTTTTCTTACACAGTCTCTCATCTATAGGTATAAAGTCTAGCATGCGCTGCTTCTTCTTGCCAACTATAAATCCTGTTCCAAAATTATGTGATTCTCCACAGCTATAATAAAATGTCCCCAGCCTCTGTTCGATCACATTCTTCCCAGTCCATCTTATTTCTTGGAGAGCAAGTATATCCAGTTTATAATCACTAGCCACCATTATTATATTTCGGAGAGCGTCCTTTCTAATTCCTCCTTCATCCTTCCTCCTTCATTCTTTCTAAGGGATCGTACGTTCCATGTTCCATATCTCGACTCTAATTCCGTGCTATATCGCCGTAAATATCTTTGCCCAGCTTTCTTTTCTGAAGGTTTCTGAACAATGGATCTTTCAACAAGTTGGGGTGTTAACCCTACACAGAACTCCCTCACGGGAGGACCAGGATTTTATTTCTAGGATGACTCCCATACGACGGTTGGCTTCTCTACACCTATGGAGGCCCCCCCCTTGGTTTTCTGTCGGTGTTTTCCTTCCCTTAGTCCAGTGCTCTCGTTTTGTGGCGCCAGAAACTCGCCTTTCGCCCTCCATTCGTTACCATCTGAGCTCTCACCACAGAGAGTGTCCAGGGGCCGCCACGCGGAGGAGAGAGATAGGACTTGAGAGCTGACCTAGCTCCCAAATCGGGAATCCCTATTACAGAGGGGGTATATCTCCTATGTATCGTGGTGAGCACCTATGGGCATCGGTAGAATCTGTATTATTGTCTTAAAATTAATAAAATATTGTCAGTATTTCAAATATTGCTCATCTTTGTTGATATTGTTTGTAATAACATGTTATAATAGGTTTAAAAGCCTAAGTAACTATCCTTTCTCTGTGTACACAGAAGTCTTTAATTTCTCTCTTGTCTTATTTCAGAGAGTCCTGCAAACTTTTCTACCGGGCAGATCCTCTGAAAATTGTGCGTGCTGAAGGGCAGTACATGTTCGACGAGAAAAACAATCGATACTTGGATTGCATCAACAACGTCGCCCACGGTGAGTGACTTAGAGATTGTGTCAAAAACCAAGAAACTATGGAAAGAACGTTTCTGAAAGTCGTTCTTTTTAATTAATTACAGTGACGATTACGACATATTGGGAGAAACAGGAAGAACAGCTACATATTCTTTAAAACAAAAATGACAAAAGGAAAACCATATTTTATTTCGTCTTCATTTTGACTTTTAAAAACGATTTTTTTCCTATATTCTGTTTACTTGAACTTTATTGTACACATAAGATTAGGCAAATAGTACATTGTACTCGTAGTATATGCAAACACGTGAAGAAATCACCCAATGGTGACCATTGTTAGGTAGTAATTAAAATCTATGACTAAAATCTATATCTAGTGGCTTAAACGCAAGATTCTTTATAACCATATTGTTATTACAAATGATCATTGCCAAATGATTTATGTGCCTTTTTCGTTTTTGCTATGTTTGAGGCCCCTCATGTTTTACATTTCGTTACTGATGGTATTTTTAAACCTCTTGTTCAAGAACTTCTAATGTACCATGTTATATTGGATGCTGTTCTCAGAAGCTAAGCTTGAAATATTTGGAGAACTTTTTTGTTTGAATCGCTCTACTGAGCTCCGTTAAATTCCGAGAGACCATACAGATAATGATTATTTCATGAGTATTAATTTTCAGAGAGAGGATGGAGTGTTAAACCTAATTACTAATTACATATTACCGACTCATAATTACTTCACAGTGATTGCTTCAGAAATGTTTTGGTCATTAGTTGGAGAATAATTTTTGCTATTGTAAGTGAACTTCACGTGAGTTGATTTGGTTACGTGAACTTTTATTAAGGAAGTCAAAGCTAACCCTATTCGTGATACTTTTTTAAGTATTTCTCCACTAATAAGATCATGACCATGCGATTCTACTAGTTGAAAGTTCTTTAATAATTAATTTCATTTCAGATTAAATAATAAATGTATTAATATGCATTAGTTCATTTAACGAAATACTGCAGAAATTAATTGTTAAAAAATACTCTAGGCTGCACTAGTTCCTAATATTGGTAGAAACAGTTTTATAACATGAATAGAGCACATCCTTAGATTGAAATGGTTGATGGCAAAGAGTTGATTTTTACATACTAGTCATCCAATATTCTCAGCTCTGATAGCGTTTGTCTGTAGGTAAATAGATGGTGCGTGCCTACTAACCTTTCCCCCCATAAGTATTTCCCTGTCTTCACAAGTTTTACTCCATGCATTCTCGAAACAAGATTGTTCCACGTTGACTAAAGATGTCTTTCTAAAATGCAGTGAAACGTATTTCATTATTAAACCGTTCGAAAAGACTGTTGAAAATCTAATTAACCAAAACTGAAGCAATATTTCTCATAAGAAAAAAACGTAAATACAATTAATTCGAAGCAGACACTAAAAAGAATTAACAAAAATATTTTTCATCGCATTTACGGAGTTTCTAGATTCCTTTATCGAAGGGCTGGCCCTAAAAATTTATTTGAAACATGGTGCCTTAGTTTGTAAATGTGCTCCAAAACAATTTATTTCAAAATGTCCCAGATAAACGCAAGGAAAATTATACGTAATATTGTTCATATAACAGAGTATGTCATTCAATCAGAATAAATAATTAATTGCAAGAGGGGAAGAAAAGCTAGTGAAGTCTTCTGACTGGTAGTGCAACAGCGACAGAATTTTCGTGTCTCTCAACTTTTTTTCAAACAGGAAACACTATGAATTCTAAAGAGAGCCAGTTTCTTTACTTATACAAAATGAAATGCATTTATTTGTTGATAAGACGAAGATATGTATTTTCCATCCAAATTTAAACAATATTGATATTTAACTTGAATCAATAAATCATCATATTTTCATGATATTTGAACCTTTTTGAAGTTACTTTTACTTTCAAGGAAGGGGAATGAACCCCCCAAATTATTACATTTCCTCTTATCAGCCTATTTTAGCGGGTTTTTCTTACCGAACGTGAAGCCAAGCAACCAATTAACTTCCTTCTTTTCTATCTTCCTCTTAAAAGGGACGCGCTACACCAATATCTGGCGATAAAAGTGAAATTATTGATTACAAAAGATTTCTATAATCTTTCTTCCCATTTTATGCTTGTGAAATTCACTTCAACATAATGTCATTACCCCTTAAATTACTATCTTAATTTTAGTATATCTCGGAACAAGCTTTTACGTAATGTAAGGGGTCATTTATGTAATAATGATGGAACTGTTTGTCAGTTACGAACCCGAGCGTACGCAGGAGTCATTAAGAACTTTAATTCTCCTTTGCTCTCTAATGATAAGGTTTGGAAAATTACCAAAGGTCATGTGGCACTGACATTTAAAATGCAGACTCAGCACTGATTTTCTTTTCAGTGTAAGTAAAATTCGTATTTCATTAGTTAAAAAAATGTTTATATACACAGTTAAATATTATTCATCGCAAAGATACGTAAAATTCAAACAAATTAGGACATCAAAATCCACCCCCAAACGAACTTGTAGTCTATTTAAATCAATGTATTTTTTCTTAGTGGTACGAAACGTTAAGTGAGACATATTTTACTGCAAAGCTGATTCCGGGCATCAATTGATGTCTGCCTGCCTGACCGGGTGGTACTGTGGTTCGAGTTCCGACGATGGATTTTCGGCACTAGATACACAACTAGATCGAGTTCAGACGCTGCCTGGAAATGAATTCAAGCGGCCATATGTTCTGATCGGACGTTTTCCGTGGTTTCTCTGATGAACACCGGGCGAATGCCGGAGCAGTACCCTTACCCTAACAACAGGCCACAGACCGCGCGCGATTGTTTCTTCTTCTTCCTCGTCCTATTCCCCGCCCCTTACTTACTTTTGTGGGGAAACTAGTCGGGAGCTTAGAGCTTGTCCCGGTTGGAGCGGTGCCACGCTGGTAGGGGATCCCCGTTTGGGGAAAACCCCCTAAAGCCGACGAAGGTCAGCGCTGGATCTCTCCATCCAGCGGTGGATGATCACCGCTACATCCAGCGATACAAAACTTGCTCTACATGTACGTGATTATTGACCTTAGCAGTTGCCACTCCTAGAATCATTAATCATCAAAACAACAGAGATTTTTCTTGAAAAATCTCTCTATTCAATTATATAGTTGTAGGAAAACGCTGAAAAATGAATTATTATTAATGTTAAGAAATGTAATGCAATTTTCTCAAAATTAGAGTAAAAATGAGATTTGCATTCTTAAGTGTCCTTTACGCAACCCGAGGACACACTCCAATAAAATATTAGGAGTCACATTTAAGAAAAAAATTGAAAATGTTGAGGCTTCATGAAAAGTACCTCCAAAAATCTAAATATCTGATACAAACTCGCGGAGCCTCGCGTTCCTATAAAGTCATTGAGGGATATCAATTTTGGGGAAAATCGGCTAAATTGTTTTCGCACTAGCTTTTCTCACAGGCTACACACGGACAGACGTGTTAGAGGAAGTTATTTACTGTATATATAACCAAATATATCTTTTTCGTTACCAGATCTCGTCAGTGAGAGTTTTTTTGTCAAAAATTCGTCGATTCCCGGCGCACGAATACAATACTTTCTCTTCTTACAAAGTAGGGGTGAGAAAGTAAAAATACATTGTTAATATATTATTCGAGATATGAAAAGATTACATCAATGTGGCGTTTATGACATGTCATAAGTGTATTGAGCCTTACCTGTTTAAAAAGGTGTAAGAAGAAATTGGAGAAGTTTTGGAGAAAATATTGTCTAAAAAACGCTCTTATTTAATTGCGCTAAAATGATTAATACTTTTAGAAAATGAACATGAGATTAATCAAAGAGTTAATACTGAAAAACTATTTTTTAAAGAAAAATGTTTAATAATATAGTTGTTTCAAGGGTCCAAAGTATTCGAATCTTTTGCAAAAATTCGAAAATACTGAGGCCATAGTGAAATCAGAATAGAACATCTTTTGTATTTCACTCAAGTCTAACAAGAAATTAAAAGAAGATAAAATTAGAGAAAACTGTGATAACGCCCCAAGGGTTTCACGTGAAGTAGTCCCTACCATTAAAAAAATTCAAATTCGTATGTTCTTGAGTCGAACCAGGTAGATCGGTGAATACCCTTATAGGGAAAAAATGCTATGAATGATTCAATGGTAGTACTGTTCACCAACGAATGAATAGACAGGTAGACAGAGAAACGAGTGGTCGTTTTGAATATAAACAGCACTTCTTCGGTATCGGAGGCCCACGAAATTTATATTTCCTATCGAAAATATAAATTATCGTCATCGATTCAGCATTACATTCCTTTTTCGCCTAAAGCAAAAAGATATATACCACCGGATCATCGGAAATAATAAATCACTTAACTTACCAGTGGAATATCCAGTCACTGGTTGTGTTAGTAGTTAATAAGACTTTCGCAAATAATTATGGGATTGATATAAAATGTTCTGAAAGGAAAGAATCGGGGCTGAAAAATTCTAACAATGGAAGGTACGTGAGCGTCAGTTTTTTTCCACAGGGTTACGTGCTTGTAATAGGAAAACCAACAATCTGTATCCAGTAAGTTAGCACCTTAGAAAATAAACTTAGTAAAATGATGAAAACTTATGAGAAATACCTATAAAGGATTGCCGAAAAGAAATTATATTGTCAGAACACAAAGAAGTGTCAAAAGCTTGCGAATTGTGTAACGCAGAAACAAAACACAGAACATATCCTTCGAATAACTATTTTTAAACTTCGACTCAGCAAATCCACAATTTCCTCGTTAGTCATGAAAACCGTCTCTCTTATGTAAAGACGTGACAAAGATGACCACAACAAGGAAGTGCTAACTTCGCGAACGTAAAATGCAAGAGAGAAAACTTACTGTTTGCGATTCTCTTGAAACAAAATCTACCACGACGTGCCAGGGCGGGCAACTGGCAAACGGTTTGCAAAGTTCACGCCCAATTTTACTGATTGTGAGTTGTAAAAAAATGAAATTGAAATAGAAAACA